CGTCCCCCCCCCCCCCGCCCCTTGTGTCTAAAGCAGCATGTGAATTGTCAGAGCCATCAAATCCTCTTTGAAGCACTCACAACTGAGTGCAATATTCCCGCATTTACATGGGGATACACCAGGAAGTCACTTGTGTTTCTTGGCTGATTCTTATAATCCATGTTTCTTTGTGTTTTTCAGTGAGTTTGCTCCTGCCACACTTCTTGTGTACGTTTTTCCTGTTGAAACCCGTGTTCAGCCCCCTTGTTGCCAGTCTCCTCTGTGTTTTTCCTCCTCCTTCCTTGTATCCTCTGCTTCTAACTGCAGTTTCTCACAGCCCTGGCGCCTCCTTGCTGCGATGTTGCATCTCATTAAGTGTTTCAGAAGGTTCCCACTGCCACCCCCAATATGCTATTAACATAGCTTTAGCTGACAGCTATGTTGTTGTAATGGAAGTCAGCAGGCAACATCAACATCTTTAGTTGCTTGTGTATTTGCAAGTGCAAGCTGTGATGCTGAAATTGTTCACATAAATATCTGCCTGATTCTACCAGTAAGGTTTCAGTGTCAGTCACTTCATTGTTTCTTAAGATGAAGTTTCAGATGGGCAGAGCTGATTGAACCACTTGCTGACAAAGAATGGGTAGGTTCTTGGCTTTTTCTGCTGCAACTCTGATGCTTATCTGACCTCTCAGTGAGCTGGTTAAGCTCCTAACCAGTAAAATAGTAATAAGATCTAAAAAGCGGGATTGATTTGTTTGTTTGTTTCCTGCTTCATTTTAGGGAGCTGAGTCAAGTTACTGGGAGGTCAGATGAGCAGCAGAGATGGTGAAAGGAAGAGAAGGGTACCACAGGGCTGGGAGGAGGAGATGTGAGAGTAAGGGATGGAGGACAGGAAGGGGAAGTACCACTTCAAAGGCAGGTACGTGTTGAAGATCAATAAGCTCCTGGGCCAAAGATTAAGGTTTTTCACCCTTTGCTTGTGAAGAGCAATTTCCTTTTTGCAGAAAATCATTTTGAGATAGTAGAGGTGTCTTCTTCTATCCTTGTTTAAAACCAAAATAAAATAATCTTGAACCAAATTTGGTACTTAGGTTTCTGAAATCTCATTTGCTGAGATCGGTAGAGGGCTATTGAAGATTGACACTAAAATATCTTCTTGGCCTCCTGAAGGAAGGCTGCAGGTGCTCCAGCTGAATTGACCCTTCTTGGGTCTGGAGTCTTGCTGTCACTGGTCTTCCTGAGGACCAGTAGCTGCTGGTGTGTGGCACCTAAACACAGACAATGGGAGATTTTCTGATATGCTCCTACTGTTTCCATGATGTCACCCATACATCATGGAATTGAAGAGGTAAAAGCTTTGTTTCTAGTCAGTAGCAAAGACGGCTGGAAAAGAATGGTTGGAATAGAAGCAGATTATCTGGAGGATAGAGTTTAGGTAGTTAATGGCAAAATAATCTTCAGATGAGGAAGTATGAGTTCTCAAACACCTGTAATCACATCTAGTATTCAAGAGACTGCCATAGTTCTGTTATCTGCAGATAACAGGCTGAGCACAGGGAGCCAAGGATTGGCTGTGAGGACAGCTGCTCTGCTACCACTGCTTGCTGCCTCTTCAGTTATGCTGGTGCAATTGTTCTTGAGATTGTGGTTTAATATGAAAATTGACCAGCATTGGAAAAGAAATAGTATTATGGTTTTTTATTTGTTGTCTGATCTGCAGTGTAATACACACCTGCAAATATTTGTACTGGCACAGCTGAAGGAGTGAACTGCAGGTAAGATGAACAGAAGAGAGTGGGAATGTCTTTGATCAACTTTGTTACTGAAAAGTGTTCATGTAGTGAAATTTTAGTACATTGTACATTTACTCTGGTAATCTTTGGGGTTTTTTTACAGCTAAGTATTTCAGGCTTTCAGTTGATTTGTGTAAACGTCTTAAAATGGTTCAACAAACCAGTTCTGGTTTGGTTCTTCAAGTATCATAGCCTGTTTTATTTCTGACTGTTGTATTTAAAGGCTATTAAGCTGAAAGTCAAGCACCTGAATTAGGAAATTCCAGGATTAATGCTGCCTTTGCAGGATTAATTTGGTCCCTCGCCATTTGTTTATGTTGCAGCCTTGGTTACTGTTAAAGTGACAGAGTTAACATTGCGCGAAAGAGTTCTGCCTCCTTCACTGCACGGAAGAGACTTTGCTCTGAGAATGAAAGGGAGGATTGGAGTGGGGTGCTTATCTCTGTCTTGTTTAATGTAATAAATTGAAGGTGTTCTATGAATAAAAAGGAGAATGTGGAAAGAAGGATGGGTGACTTAGATTCTGCTTTACACCTGCAGATTTTACACCTGTCTCTTCTAATAGCATTACTGTGTTATGATGGACTATTGTAAGGAACACATAGTAATTACATGGTGCTTATTCTGTGAGTGTCTTATACAAAACACAAGACCTGGGTAAAGCAGGTTAAAATGAAAGATTTGAAAATATTTAAAAACATTTCACTAATATACTTCTTTCCTTCTGTGTTCTTGAAGTATGGGTTCTACAGCAGCTTCTGTTGGACATCTTTATAATACTGCTTCAGTTAAGTTTCCTTCATAAACACACCGTTCATGTGTTACCTCCATATCCCATGCTACAATTTGCATCCCAGATGAATCACTTGAGTTTGCAAACTCAGTTTCTTTCAGATGAAGCTAAAGGAGAAGATGCAAACATTTGTTCTAATAACGCTCCATGTGCGAATGCGTGCTCAGGCCATGAGACTGGATTAGAGCCAGTCAGACTCCACTACTTTAAATTTCAGTGGCATCAAGAAAGGAAATGGGTAGCGTTGACCATGCTTCTAAGCAAAACATAGAAAGCAGACTAAGTCAGATTGATTTCTCAAATTCATAGAAGCTTGACTGCTCTGCTCTTTTTAGGGGGGGTGGGAGGAATTATGCATTGTAACTCTCTGAGGTTGGATAAATTAGTGCTTATGAAATGATACTTCAAAACACTGAAACACTCAATACTGATCCAATGAGGAAACGGAATTCTGCTTGTGCTATACCCATGATGCTGTTAAGTCATTCAGACAAGGTAGTTTCAGACGTGGAAATGGTAGCTTAGTCCTATGGTATGATCAATGCCCTGAGACACTGTATGCAGCACTCTTTAAATCAGTTCTCAGTAGTACCAATTTAGACTTTGATCACTTATTTGTATCCATTACTTGTAAGATTTACCACCCTCATTTATTAATCATAGGATTACAGCTTCTTAGTATTGTTTTTTATTGTCAGTTTTCCTTGTGAGCTGATGAATAGTGAAACCTTTTTGTTGTAGCAGCATACATCGTGTATAAATTATAAACTAAAGAGCAGCTTCTCAAATCAGCTGTGAAAGAAGAGAATTGCTTTAACCAGACACATCATTGACTTGTTTTACTACCACCATGGAGGAAAGCAGTGTAAAATTCTTACAAGTTAACTTGAACAGAATTGTAAAAGCATCCATGAGAAAAGAAAATTGGATGTTGCTGATTTCTCTGTGTGTGTGCATGTGCACAGATAATATAAATTTCAATTCGTGTCCCAGAAGTTCTTGGTTTAAACCAACTTAAAGCCTGAATCTCTTTTTTTGTTAAGATCTAATCAGGAGCAGTGTATTGAGTTACTGAGACATCCTGCAGTACAGAGCAGGTTGTGTTTTGAAGCATTTGGAACATGGAGATTTCTGTACTGCAGTTTAATTTGTGCTTATTTTACCCTTGGATGCATCCAAGGATAACTGTTCCTCAAGCTTATGGATTGTGGGCATAAAGTGCACTTATTTTAATGATTAAAATGGAGAGTTCAGTTCTCTGATTGCTTTTAAGATAGAACAAAGCAATGCAAGGATACTTCAGTTACAATTGTGTCATTTCCAAGAAACCAGATCCTGTCAGTGCAGTTATAAGTGACATATTTGGTAGTTAGAAGTATATATTAACAACACTTACTAAGCATAAGCAAACATGATGAATGAACCTAAATTACAGACAATAATCCTGCTTCCTTCTCCCTTCCCAGTATTAATTTTCTTTCCATCATCCTATTAAAAATGATAACAAAATCCCGTTAATGTGTTTAGTGAGCAGGAAACTGACAGGGTTACTTAGCTTCGGAAAGGTGACTTGGCGTAACTAAGCTTTAGATATCTGATTCAAAGAGTTTATCGATGCAGTTGTCAAGATAGATCTTCATAAAGCTAAAGCTGAGAAGAAGATGATAGAGACTGAAAGGGTTGAACTGTTCCATCATGTGGACAGATGTATTGCAGGAAGAGAAGACCGTCCCCCCTCCCTAGTTAGTTAGGTGTAATATTCTTGGTGTAATATGAGTATTTAGCACTGTATTTGAAAGTGGGCACGTGAGGTGGTTCTTCTCATGCCTGTGCTAACAGTGTTATTCTAATTCCCATAGCTGTCCTCCAAACAAGATGCTTTCTTCAGCACTGTTGGTGGTGGTTTAGCCAGTTTTTGAAGTACAGAGGGATTAGGTGTGTTTACTTTAATCTCTAACAACAGTTCACATGAGGCAACCTACAACTTCTTTTTGTTGTTCTTTTTCAGAAACATCAGAATCATGGAGGGGCTCTTGCATTACATAAATCCAGCACATGCCATTTCACTTCTAAGCACACTGAACGAGGAGCGTCTAAAGGGACAGCTGTGTGATGTTGTTCTCATTGTAGGAGATCAGAAATTTCGAGCTCATAAGAACGTTCTGGCTGCCAGCAGTGAATACTTCCAGACTCTGTTCACAAATAAGGAGAATGAGTCTCAGTCAGTGTTTCAACTTGACTTTTGTGAGCCAGATGCTTTTGATAATGTGTTAAACTACATTTATTCTTCATCCTTGTTCATTGAGAAAGGCAGTCTTGCAGCTGTGCAAGAATTGGGCTACAGTCTTGGAATATCCTTTCTTACAAACATTGTTTCTAAGAGTCCTCAAGCTCCTTTTCCTGCTTGCCCTATGAAGAAAATACTCTATCAAGATGAAGATGAAAGTAGTTCTCAGAAGAGAAGTGTCATTGTCTGTCAGAACAGAATTGAAGCACAAGTGAAAAGTATAAATCAAACACAACATGATTTAAGCCATACTTCTAAACCTTCATCCTCTGTTGCTGTCAAAACTAGCAGTAGACCACAAGTAACAAAACCAACTGAAGCCCTTCACAACTTATCACTGACTGAAAGGAGATGGTTGAAAGAAAGCCCTGTGAGCTATACCAAGGTTCATGAAACTTCTGGAACTGTGGAGGATCAGAGCCGAGGTGGTTTACTGAAAAGGAATACAGTACTGCCTCAGATGCCTTTAGCAGAAAAAGAAATTGCAAGCGATGAACCAGGAAGCAGTGGTCAGCTTTTAAGAGGAAAGGCTGCAGAGATGTCATTAAAAAGATCGCGTCCACCAGTCTTGTCTCTGCGCGGCACATCAGAATCTACGTTTTTGTTGCGAGAGGCAGGAAAAGGAAGTGGTCAAGGTGAAGACAGGAATTTACTATACTACTCAAAGTTAGGGCTAGTAATTCCATCTAGTGGATCTCGTCCAGAAAACCAAAGTATTGACAGAAGTGGGCCACTTGTAAAAAGTCTCCTTCGAAGATCACTGTCCATGGACAGCCAGGTTCCCATTTACTCACCTTCTGTTGACCTAAAACCTTCACAGGTGTCATCATCCTCCTCACCAGGAACTAATGATTCCCAGAAGACATTTACTGTTGTATCTCAAAAGTCATCGTTGAAAGAGTCATCAGAGAAATTAGTCGCAGATGAAAAGCCACAGGTAATACACCCACATCGCCTTAGGTCTTTCAGTGCCTCTCAGTCAACCGATAGGGAGGTTGCTTCTCCTCTCACAGAGATGCGAATAAAAACTGAACCTAGCAGTCCACTTTCAGATCCTGCTTAAATAATAAGAGTTACAGTGGGTGATGCTTCAGCATTGACAAATAAAGACTTTCCTTTTAAAACTGAGGATGATCATAAGGAGCCAAGTAGACTTCCAGCAAAAAGGAGATTTCAAGCTGATAGAACACTACCATTCAAGAAACTGAAGGCAGATGAGCAGGGTTCTCCTGGGTCAGAAGATAACTTTGAGGAAAGCTCAAGCCCTACACACCTTGATGCTGATTTTCCTGATTCTGATGTCAGTAAAGATGAATACAGTGAGTTGGAAGAAGCAAGACCAAATAAGAAGTTTAAATGCAAGCACTGCCTTAAAATTTTCAGGTCAACAGCAGGTCTTCATCGTCATGTGAACATGTATCATAATCCAGAGAAGCCCTATGCTTGTGATATATGCCACAAGAGATTTCACACTAATTTCAAAGTGTGGACGCACTGCCAGACACAACATGGAATTGTGAAGAATCCCTCCCCAGCTTCCAGTTCTCATGCTGTTTTGGATGAAAAATTCCAAAGAAAACTGATTGATATAGTGAGAGAGAGAGAAATTAAGAAAGCTCTAATCGTTAAACTAAGACGTGGCAAGCAAGGTTTTCAGGGACAGTCTGCTTCACAAGCACAACAAGTCATCAAAAGGAATTTAAGATCAAGAACCAAAGGAGCCTATATTTGTACCTACTGTGGGAAAGCGTTTCGTTTCCTCTCACAGTTTAAGCAGCACATAAAAATGCATCCAGGGGAGAAACCAATTGGAGGAAACAAGGCTCTTAAGCAGAAAGATCATATTCATATTGAAAGTCCAGTAGAAAACAAAGAGGTTTATCAGTGCCGTCTTTGCAATGCTAAGCTCTCTTCACTTATTGAACAGGGAAATCATGAGCGACTCTGTAGAAATGCTACTGTCTGTCCTTACTGCAGCCTTAGATTTTCTTCTCCAGAGCTGAAGCATGAGCACGAAAGCAAGTGTGAGTACAAGAAGCTTACTTGTCTTGAGTGTATGCGTACCTTTAAATCATCCTTTAGTATTTGGCGTCATCAAGTTGAAGTTCATAATCAAAACACAATGGCTCCATCAGAGAACTTTTCTTTACCGATCCTGGATCACAATGGCGAAATAACTAGTTCATCAAGATTGCCTCCTCAGGCAGAATCCAATAAAATGAACAATTTTGTTACTGCAAAGGAAGATGGTGTATTCAGTGATTCATCGGAACAAATAAATTTTGATTCTGAAGACTCCTCATGCCTACCTGAAGACTTGAGTGTTTCCAAGCAGTTTAAAATTCAGATCAAAGAAGAGCCTGCAGATGATATAGAGGATGAGGTCACTGAAACGAGCAGAGAGCCTAAGGAAGTAGTCTCCAATAAAGATGCTGGTTTGTGGCCCTGTGAAAAATGTGGGAAGATTTTCACTGTACGCAAACAGCTGGAGCGTCACCAGGAGCTCCTGTGCTCTGTGAAGCCATTTATTTGTCACGTGTGTAACAAGGCCTTCCGAACCAACTTCCGGCTCTGGAGTCACTTCCAGTCTCATATGTCACAGGCTGCAGAGGAGTCTACAAATAAGGAGCCTGAGATATGTCCACCAGCTAATTCCCCATCGCCCCCACCCTTACCTCCCCCCCCACCCCTCCCTAAAATCCAGCCTTTGGAGCCTGATAGTCCAACAGGCTTATCTGAAAGCTCCACTACTACTGAAAAATTGTTTGTACCACAGGAGTCAGATACACTCTTCTATCATGCTCCACCACTCTCAGCAATCACTTTCAAAAGACAATACATGTGTAAACTCTGTCATAGGACTTTCAAGACTGCTTTTAGTCTTTGGAGCCATGAACAGACACACAATTAGCTTTAACAGATACCTTTAAAAGCTGTTTCAGTGGAGGCTGTGTTCAGGATCTCAGATGTATGCCATATAAACTGGAAATTTAAGAAGATCAAACTGATGACAAGGATGACAAAAATTTGGAATCTGTGATGCTGCTTGGATTTGAAGATTAAGGTAAACTGACTTGGTTAGTAGGTAGAAGGCAGAGTAATTTAAAATACCGTGGTCTGGGATCTAATAGTAACAGAATAATTTTTATTTCATTTAACACTGAAATATGATCACATCTGGATTGTATGCATGGATCTTCATCCTGTGATGGTGTATGCGTGTGTATTATATATAAAGTTATATATTAAATGAAAGAGCAACAACAATTTGGAGTCTAACTGTGAGTTTATAGTAGTGAAATACTGTAACCAACTTCATTAATTTTAATCCTTTTTTAAAGAAATCAACACATGAGCTCCATATAAATAGTTGCCATGCACTTGCAGTTAGGGAGGAAGTGGATGGAGTGTCTTGCTGTATTGACTTAGGTCTTAGAAACCTTTAGCAATAACAAAGAAACCTCAAGTTTGAGTAATCCTGATGTTATTGGATACGAATGTTTGATATTTTAAGGGAACATAGAACTGTTTTGTTGTTATATGGAACTTGTGCAAATTAAAATAGAAAGTCAGCAATATTATTACTGAGATTTTCTATAAAAAGTAGCAGCAAGCCTGCTTTCAGCCATTTAGTTATATGTTTCTAAGGAAAATTGGGTGGGAGGGTGTACTTTACTTTATATAATGTCCCAAAGACTAATTTACTATAGAAACTTTGGTAGTTGAAGTCATCGTATTAACAGCCATCATAATGCAAATGGTACTGTTTATAATATGAAGTAAGATTGAATGGATGTCAGACAAGTTTCATAATTTTGTTTCCACTATTTGTACAACTGTTTGTAATTCTAACTACAAAGGAATGTATAACTATTAAATCATAAAAAGAGAGCTCATTAAGGGACAGAAGATGAGTTGTGTTCTTACACACAGTAATAAGCTTGGCCATGAGTACAAAGATATGTTTTAACAAAAACTAAAAATGTAAATATTTATATAGACATCTGTATAAATGAAGAAGTATGTATTTGAAATTTGTATTAAGCATACATATCCAGCTCAAAGCAGAGGAAAAAGCATCACACTACAATCACTGCATTTAATGAATACAATGCATAGAATATTTCTTTCTGACGCTTTCTATCATGTGTGATACTGTGTTGCAATTTTCTGATTTGTTGAAAATCATAGTAATAATGGGATGCAGATATTCTGTGTGGTTCCATTATTTTACCTCAAATCAACTGGAGTATTTAGTGTGAGATCGTTGGTATTTACCAGAAGCTATAGTAAGGGTCCAAAATTATTCTGTAAGTAAAAGAAATATTTACCCAGATGTAGGTGGGAAACTAACAGCAAAAGATTCTTCTGCTAGAATTTAAACTTAGTGGAGTGGTGATGGATTAAAGTGAACATAAATGATGTAAACAGTGTTTATGATCCTGACCAACTTCACCCCATGCGGGTTGGGAGAAGGGGATTGCATTCCACACTACGTAATCCAAGTCCAGTCTGTGTTTGCTGAAAGCAACAGGAGTTTGGTCGCCAGTTCCAGGGGAAGCAGGAACAGGGCTTTAATTTCAGCATCTCAAGTAAGAAGAATTGCAAGCTGTCACCAAGACTTAGAAAAATTAAGCACAAATGTAACTCCTAAGAACCTGAGGATGGAAGTCCTTAGTTAGGCACATGCAGGAGGAGATTTTTCTCAGTGAAAGCCCAAGTGTGTCAGAGCACACAGATTTTTTTATTATTTTTCATGTAAATTAAGTTTAAAAGAATTGGCTCAGGATGGACCCTGATGTATTTTCAGCTACCAAAATATTGCATTGTTGCTTTCAAGCCTCTTCTGTTTCATTTTTGTTTAAAATAGTTACTGAACACTTCTAATAGTAACATGCTGTTCTTTTTTGTCCTCTTTCAGGCAAATTGTAGCTGAATATGATTATGCTAATTTGCTAGAATATCAGTTAAACTCTTTCAGTGACATTGCAGTTAAAACAAGGTACTTGTTTAATAGTGACATTTCTTGTTACAGATGTTGGGGGTTTTTTTTATTCCACCTAAGTAAGACTAAATCTCTTTCTTAACCAGAAATAATTTAAAAAAAAAGTTTATTGCACTTAACCTGGTTTTACAGAATCAGAGAAACATAAAGCTTCCCTGAGTATCCTTTAAATGTATTTAAGAAATCTGTGCACGTAAAATATGATCATGGGGTGGGTTTTTTTTAATGATTCCTAAGTTTTCACCAATGATTCTTCTACACAACAGTCTGAAAATTTATATGTAGCCTTTTAAAAATCAGTGTGCTTTCTGAAGGAAGATGGCAACTAGGTCAGCTGTGTCATAGTCATCCAACTTCCAG